ATATACACACACAATAAAAATTTTGATAATCTGTCCTTACAAAGGAAACATATCTTAACACTTTGAACACTTAGACCGGTATTCATAGTCAAATCTTATATTCAAGACCTTCTTGAATTTATCTTAAGATGCTGTATGGAACATTTCATTGGCTACAAAGTATCTAAAGATGATCTTAGGACGGTCTTCAATACAAGATCTGACTATGAATACCGGCTTGTATGTGTAATTGATCCACAAACATCACACTTTAGTTGCCACATTCAAACACCACACTGGATTAGCAAATCCAGTGAATTCTTTCGCTTATATCTCACGTATTAAAATATCAAACAGTAAATGTTTCTTCAAGCGATACAAGTCAAACAGTAATCTACAAGAGTGTGTAAGTGAAAATGCTGCATGTTTCAAAATGGGAATGAGTTAGCCATTAGCGTAATCCAGTGTGGTGTTTGAATGTTAAAACAAAAATTGAATACTTACATTCGAGACCATGTAATTTATAGGTGAATGACATAAAAGAATCTTTATCCGTTAAGATATCAATATACCAAATGCCATCTAAAGAATGTGTTGTTATGTCATGAAATTCACGCGGAGCATCGCGTAAATAAGTTCCGTACAAATCTTTGATCTTTTCACATAGGTCAGTGGTCTCTTTTGCGTTTTTGCGACACAAATTAAATCTGTAGATATAAAAACCCGGGAAAAAATGGAGGAGATCTGACCATGTCTGATTTAATAAAATGAGATACATCGAGATCTGAAATTATAGTAGAGTCAGATCTGATTGGATAAAATTTTATCTCGTCAGATCTGCATGGCCAGATCTGTTCAGATCTAGCCAGACATGCTAAACTTTAGTCCGATTTCACGAGATCTGACCATTGCTGCTGTTCGATATTGAATCGCAGGTCCAGTCTGATCTCTTCCGATCTCATGAGATACGCATCAGATCTCACCAGGTTTGGTCAGACCCAATCAGACATATGTTGATCTCACCAAATCTGATCATTCTTAGTTTGCAAAGTTGGGTTACTGATCGAATCAGATCTCTTCGGATCTAATCTGACATCAGACCTCCTAAAAGATTTGAGCAGACATTATGCGTCAGATCTTTTCAGATCTGAGCAGAGCTTTCCGGATCTGAGCAGATCTCGACAACATAGAACTTACAAAAATTTTGTTCTCATCATTATAGGTATTAATTTTTACACCCAATATTGGGCATTATATGAAATATAGATAACTCTGTGAAGGGGGGGGGAGTTGTATGTATTTAATTAAATACATACACCCAGATAGCCAGTGTGAGCACAAGTTACTTTCACATTGCTAAGAAAAATGTTGCATCTTGCTATGCATCTATGTCGTTTATTGTGCTGTTGTTTGCTAGCATTTGGTGTCGGAAATGAAACATTTGCATGATTCAAACATTATGCTAGCATTAAGTGCTTGGTCAGGTGTAATAGATATAACATGTTTATATCTGTTAGAAAATTGAAAACAATATATATGCTAATTCTTTGTTAACAGGATGCCTATTCGATATGCTCTCTCTTTAGCTGTGCATTTAACTACGACAATATGTTAACATTATGCTAGCTGTATTTAAATCACTCAAACATTGAATTCATATTCCCAGTAAAGAGCCAGCATCAGTTGCTGTCATTTTATTTCCATACATTGCTTGAGCATAC